TAAAATTATGTGTATGATTGTGTTTTGCCTGAATGTCTGTCTGTGCATCATTTGTGTACAGTTCATTGGAATCCCTTGGAACTGGAGTTAGAGACAGTTGTGAGCTACCATGTGGGTGCTGGGAATTGAACCTGAGTCCTCTGGAAGAGCAGCCAGTGCTCTTAACTGCTGAGCCATCTCTCCAACCCCCAAGATTATTCTCCTTAGCAAATTCAATACCAGGTTTCAAGAAGATTGGCAGTGCAGAGAAAAAAGTATAATTTATTTATTAAGCCGGCCACAGAAAATAGAAACATTTGCTTTGCTTTTACTTTGTTTTTCTGAGATGGGGTTCTCACTGTGTTGCCCAAGCTGACCTTGAACTCCCACGCTCAAGAAACCATTTTTGTTTGCTTCAGCCTCCCAAGTGCCTGAGTTTACTCTTCCGTGCTAGGAACTGAATCCAGGACTTTGCCCATTGTGACATGTGCCTTTCAATAGAGGCACAGAGCCAGGCAGTGGTGGCTCATGCCTTTAGTCCCAGCAGGTGGGAGGCAGAGGCAGGTGGATCTCTGTGAGTTCGAGACCAGCCTGGTCTACAAGAGCCAGTGCCAGGACAACCTCCAAAGCCACAGAGAAACCCTGTCTCAAAATTGCCCTCCCTCCAAAAAAAAGAAAAAGAAAAAAGGTCCTATTCATCCATCTGTCTGTCTATCTATCTATGTCTATATATGGATCTTGTAATTCTTTTTAAACCATAAAATGATTATCATGGTTCTCTTTCAGCATAAAGAGCACCTAGAGATTACTGGAAGGCTTGCAGCATTTACAACTGGTTCTTTTCCTTTTTTAAGCCTAATTTAATTTATTTTTAAAAGCGATTTATTACTTTCAATTTTATGTGCATTGGTGTTTTCACCTGCATGTGTACTTGCATGAGGGCATTGAATCCCCTGGAGCAGACAGTTGTGAGCTGCCATGTGGATGCTGGGAATTGAATCCTGATCCTCTGGAAGAGCGGCCAGTGCTCTTAACCACTGAGCCATCTCTTCAGCCCCTAATTTAATTTATTTGTATGAGTGTTTTTCCTCCCTGCATGCCTGGGGCCTGCAGAGGTCAGAAGAGGGCATTGGATCACCTGGAACTGGAATTATAGGTGGTTGTGAGCCAACAGGTGGTTGCTAGGAGCCAAACCCAGGTCTCTGCAAGAACAGCCAGTGCTCTTAACCACTGAGCTGTCTCGCCAGCCCCTGCAATGGGTTCTTTAATCATTCATGGATTGGTGAATGGAACAGTTTGCTGGACTAGATTTCCAAACCTGACTTTCTGCTTGCCTTGGCTTTACTGTATGATAATTAAGTCTACATTTAGGACAATATACAATTGTCACTGCTGCTATTTTAAGATTTTCAAACTAATTTACCACTGATGAGAACTAAATAAAATATATTGGATTATTTTGAAGTTTTGCTTTTATAGCCTGAGTTGGAAAATGTTGAAAGAAGGTATAGTGGGACCAAATTTTCATTCCTTTAGTTCTAATTTCATTGCTAATTGCTGCTATTTCTTTTTCTTTTACTCTAGCCCCACATTGGAATGCCAAAATGTTGTTGGTGGTTTTGACTCTTTGGCTTTTTTGGGGGGGCCCACCATCCAGCTCCCAAATAAATCACACACAGAGACTTGATCTTATTTATGCCTGGCCTTAGCTTGCTTCTAGCCAGCTTTCCTTAACTTAAAATGATCCCATCTATTTTATGCCTCTAGGCTTTTATCTTTCTCTATTACTGTATACCTTTCTTTATTTCATATGCTCCATTGGGTAGTAGTTCTTTCTCTGGGAGAAATTTTCTATCGCAGTGTTCTATGGTCCTTGGAGTCACCCACTGGCATGGTCTTCCCTGAACCTCATCTTCCTTGGCCACAACTGAACTACATTTGAGAGGACAGCCAACAGTTAAAAGCTTTTGTTTTGTTTTAACCTGGGTCCTCCGTTCAAAGCTTTGTGGACTTTTCTTTTCTTTTTTTTTTTTCTTTTTTCTTTTTTTTTTCCCCCGAGACAGGGTTTCTCTGTGTAGCTTTGGAACCTGTCCTGGCACTCGCTCTGGAGACCAGGCTGGCCTCGAACTCACAGACATCCTCCTGCCTCTGCCTCCGCTGGGACTAAAGGCATGCGCCACCATTGCCCAGCATCAAGATGGGTTTTTACTTGGGTAAATTTCACAGATATCTATTAAGTCATTAGGCCCCTGCGTCATGGCAAATAGGTAGGTGAAATGATATACCTCGAATGTTTTGGTTTTTTTTAAGATGGTTATCACATTGTATGTTGTAACTAAGACTTTTCAAATGTGTATCCTCCTCTTATCTGTCTTCTGAGGGGGTATTAAAGAATGTCAGTGTTTTGGTTACAGGGATCTCCCTAACCTTAGGGAGACTGGGTTTCTGATAGTCTTGACTTGGTACCTTGGCAAAATGGGTGGGCTTTTCTTTCTCATTTTCATTTTCCCTGTCAAGGGCATGCTATTTGCTTGGCCTTGTGATCTCTTTGCCAAGCAATTTATTCTATGTTTCCCTACACCCTCCATGATAAAGTTAACCACTTTGGAATCTGAATCGAGTTGAACACTAATCTCTGGTGCTCATGGTTCCAACCACACTTATTTGGAGTCTCTGAAGGATTGCCAGCCTGCTAGTGGGTGACGTCACACTCTGTATACTGCCGAGTAACCTAGGCTGGCCTTGAACCTGCTCTTCATGCCTCAGCCTCCCAAGAGCTGGGATTACAGGTACGTGCCGCCAAGACCGGCCTCACCCCTACTCTTGAAACAGATACTGTTACCCAGTGGCGAGCTCGGGTTTGAACCCAGGGTTCAAACTCTGGAACCCATTAAAACGAAAAGAAAAGATAAAAGTTCACATCTTAGCACTTCTATCAGAGTGCTATTGGAGCCAGAGACGGGAGAACTAGCTGGAGGTTTACATAGGACGCAGAGCCCGGGGAAGGAATAACAAGAGACCGGGCAGACAAATGGGTGGAAAGAGAAGGAACTCCCAGAGTTTCCTCTGACACCCTTGCACGTGCACACATGCACACAGAATAAATTATGAGGTGATGGATAACCTACTAAGGTGATAGCTTTCCCTAGTAAGTACAACTGAAATCCAAGAATGTTACATAGAAGCCAACATAATGGGCAGGAGTGGAGCTTGGGGCCCCGCCTCTAGCACAACAAAAACAAACAACAACAGAGCCAGAAACATAAAACAGTCTGAACTGTGGAGGGGAGACAGATCACCTGCGGACACGGTGACCCAGAGAACAGCATGGCAGTGAGTTCCCGGTGTTCTCTCTCTTGCCTAATATATCTTGGATTTGGAAGGGAGCAGGCCAGCAACTTCGAAACGGCAACAGGCTAAGAAAAGAAAAAGGCTCCCACAAAAGCCTGCTCTCCCCAGCCAAGGGCCTGAAAAGCGGCAGCCGGACAAGAACAGAAAACACTTTCAGTTGGGGAAAACGTCTCTAACTGGAGCCAAACACCACAGAGAAGCTGTGGCTCGCATACCAGGGCTGCTAGAAAAGGCTGACCTGGAGAGCCTGGGTGTCCACGCTCACTGGTCCGTGAAGCCAATGCTGTATGTACAATGTGAATATAAAACCAGTACATAGCACTATGGCCTGAGAATTCCATCCCTACACGAGGGCCTGAGCTGCTTGGCAGAAGCAGCAGAGAGCACCCAGGCAGCTTGTGCCTCCATACTGCCCCCCTCTCCACCATAGTGAGACACTTTTGTGCCCCCTGGGGTGGCGTCACAGAGTACATGTAGACCCAGCAGCAGCCATACCCTGTGATGTCAGTGGGAGCCACACGGGATACAGAATGCCATGCTTCTATCCCTCCCAGTCAAAACAACGAAGTTAGAAAGGGCCCAAGGATATAGCTCAGTGGGACGAGACCTGCCTAGCAAGTGTGAGGTCCTGGGTTTACTTCCCCGCGTTTACTGCAAACTCGGAAGACTCTCATTTAACCTAGAAAAAAAAAAAAAAAACTGAATAGAAAGTAATAAAGATAAGAACGGAAATCAATGAGAAAACAATGAAAAAAAAAACAATGAAACAGAAATCATATGTCCACCGTGCAAGCCCACACGCCCACGTGATCACGGCAAACAACACTACACACAGATGAAATGGGATTCTTTTGTTGTTTGTTAGTTTTGAGACAGGGTCTCTCTACACAGGCCTGGCTGGTCTTGGAACTCACTATGTAGACCAGATGGGTCTTAAACTCAGAGATCTGCCTGTCTTTGCCTGAGATTAAAGGCATGCACCACCATGCCTGTCCATGGGTACTTTTTAAAACCAGAAACCAAGAGTTCTTACCTGGTGTCCTACTTTGATTTCTTTCTTTCTTTTTTCTTTTCTTTCTTTTTTTTTTTTTTTTTTTTT